TAGGCAACAATTCGATCAATAAAAATATATAGTCCGCGTAATTAATTCAATCAAACGCAATAGAGAGCACTCGAGTGTTGCGAATTGCGATTATTTGCGTACTTGTCATTTATGAGATGAGGTCAGATGCTGACTTAAACAATTACTAGAACATTTTATTTATTTATTTACTGGCATGGCAAAATCTGCAATGACCCAACTGAGCAAAATCTGGAGAGACCGTAATATTACCCACCGAACTAAAATACATCTGGTCCGCACCCTTGTCTTCTCCATTGTTCTATATAGTGCAGAGACGTGGACACTCAAAGCTGCAGATAGGCAGAGAATCGACGCTTTTGCGATGTGGTGCTGGCGACGTATGCTACGAATACCATGGACGGCCCGCCGCACCAACATATCTATTCTCAGGCAGTTAAAAATAGAGAAGATTCAACGTCTATCCACAATCTGCCTACAAAGAATATTGCGGTATTTTGGTCATGTTGCACGTAGGGATACCAGCAATTTGGAACGCCTTGTGGTGACCGGTAAAATGGAGGGAAAAAGGCCTAGGGGTAGAGGTCCCAAACGATGGTCGGACCAAATAGCGGAGGAACTGGGGATACCTATCAGCGATGCACTCCACCGGTCTGCAGGACGGGTTCGATGGAGACAGAAATTGGTTGACGAAATCGGACGGAGTCACGATCCTCAGCAGTGAGGAACCGATCGAAGAGAGAGATTGCATATGTAGCTGCCACAGTGTCACATCTAAGTCGCATTCAGGCGTCATCGAGTGCAATCGATTTTTCTTTTTTTTTATTGCTTAAATTGATGGACGAGCTCACGGCCCACCTGGCCTTAAATGGTTACAAGAGCCCATAGACATCTACAGCGTAAATGCCGCCATCTATCTTGAGATATGAGTTCTAAAATCTCAGTATAGTTACAGCGGCTGCCCCACCGTTCAAACCGAAACGCATTAATTACCGCATTGTAAGCCGCTACCAATATCCTTCCTATATCTACCGCGAATCAGTTATTCGTTCCGGGGTAAAATATTGAGGTTTCGTCTTCATATGACGATGTTGTACAACTTTTACTCACTTTTTTTTCTATCTATGCTGATACCCTTGAGAGGCTATTTCAGCTTCGCCCTAACATGTAGGTGAGCTCACGGGGCTCAAACCGGAGTGTTGCTAACACTAACCCTACCAAGAGCAGTGCTTCGCAGAATCTACCACCGGATCGGAAACGCGACCCACTGAGAAGATCCGGCGAGAAACTCAGTGGGCTGTGTCTGTGGGTTAATTCGCTCGTCGAGCCCTTCGTCGCAAGCGACGGGTTCGACGAGGACGGTGACCGGCGCTTGTGGTACCTAAAAGCACCGTTAATGTGTTCGATGTATGTTCGTAAACATATTGAAGAGTTTCCTAAAAAGTCGGACATACATAATAGAAATACTAGGAACAAACACAAGCTTGTTGTGCCGATGAGTAGGTTACATAAGATACGAAATTCATTCGGGTGTTTGTCTGTGCGCCTGTACAACAAAATCCCATAAGATGTTCAGAACCTACATATACATAGGTTTAAGATAACTATTAAAGAGCATATGTGCAATAAAGCTTACTATAAAATAAATATAAATATAAATTCTTCTCAGGACGGAGGCTAGTTCTTGTGAATTGGCGGTAGTTCTTTTGACGTTCAACAAGTATGTACTTTGATTTATGTTGAATAAAAAAAATTTGATTTGATTTGATTTGATTTGAATGGATCTGGAGGATCCGTAATGACGTGTTTTATTCACGTCGCGTTGCCTGTGTATGACCCACGCTTAACACGAAGCGAATAATGAACGCCAATAAATCACTAATATCGAGTGCAACCTTAATTACAGGATAGGGGCGACAGTAAAAGCCGAACAAACAAAACAAAAGCTAAAGGAGTCCCATTACTGTATCAGTGATATAGCTGTCGTACGACAAAAAGTCGACAGGTCTAAAGTCCGCGCACCGCGTTTAGAGGCGGCCACAATCATTCAACTGTCTTATTAAACACTCGCCACCCCGGGGGGACTCGTTAAGTCGTTTAACACGTGTTTAGTTAAAAAACGAAGGCTCTAGGGATAGGGTTGGTTGGCGTTATTGAAACTCACGCGTTTAGATGTTCGTTTTAAAATTGTCAAGCGTTCGTTGTTATTTCGTCAACCGTTTTACCGTGAACTGACCCATAGACACAACCCACTGAGTTTCTCGCCGGATTTTCTCAGTGGGTCGTGTTTCCGATCCGGTGGTGGATTCTGCGAAGCACGGCTCTTGCTAGGGTTAGTGTTAGCAACGTCCTATGGTTAGAGCCCCGAGAGCTCACCTACTCGCTTGGTTACGCTGGCATAGCCTCTCGAGGCTGCCAGCTTAGGTAGGTTGAAAAAAAAAGTTTACCGACGTGAAAATGAGGAGGGAGTACTCAATTTGACTGTATTTTTTATGCGTGTTACCTTCTATTTTTTCTAGGTGAACCCATTTCGGTGATCCATTAGATTTTATCAAGTATGACTGGTTGTTTTTGGGTTTTGCTTCATATTGTATATTTACATGACTTCCACTAAATCGATGATATGTATGAATGTATTTTTATTTTAGTTTATTAAAGTCGGTTTTTACTTTTGTTGAAATTTTGTAGTTTTATAATTAAAAAGTCTCGCGGAAACCCTAGTAGCAACAGAGCAGTTTTTGGGCGATGAATGGTGCTTACTATGCAGCGCTTATAAATTATTTTTATTCAGAATACAAACTAGATAGAAATATGAGTATTCGCTCAGAACAAACAGGCTTAAAGAACTTAGAAATCGTTAAAATCCTATCTAAACTGCAAACTGTGCAGAAACACTCCTCCGTAACACAATGATAGTAGTTAGCGATTGAAAATATTCAGAAAGCCAAAAAAACACATACACAATATAATTACGGATTAAACTATGGCGCAGTGACAGCCCTTGAAAGTCGAAAAGTCCTATTCTCACGTCGCACACTCGAAATTAATCGACAAGCATTTATATTAGATCTTGGGAATCTGTAATGAGTACATTATCGTGGAATAGCTGGCCGTGGTCATAGTTGCAATGCGGGTGGCTTCAAATGTCAAAGTTTTTTTTTTTACAAAGGGTACGAGTTCTATACAGCCCAAAAGAATGTCCGATATTGTTTTATTTATTATAACACGTCTGAAAGCGTGTTTTTGGTTGACTTCATTCCCGCAAATTGAAGTTCGTTTATGTCGCGTGCTCTTGGCGGGAATCCGTGTGTATTGTTTTATTTATTCTTATATTAGTGTCTAATTAGTAATAATCGTGGCTTACTAACCGTTTAACATGCAGATGTTCGCAGGAACAAGTGTGGGAAAATGAAACAGCGTCGCTGGAAGTGATTTCTCGGGTTAATCCAGAAATATATCTGATGCTTCGGTGAATTCTCATTACTTTACTGTGTTATTATTTTATTTTATCTTCGTCTCGTTTGATTTATAACATATAAAACAAAATTTTGTGGCATTTCAATTTTCAAACAAAGTTCGTATATACTTGTAATAATGATAATAATAATGTGCGATGTTGTCTGCGTCTAGGGCATATGTGGAACCTGAGGGTCAGTAGAAGTTGGGAGCGAACTCTGGGCCTAAGGACTTTTTAGGGCCCTACCCACTAAGCCATTCCCCTTGCACTCAACCACCCAAAGTTCGATCTCGACCCTGGCCGAGTAGCATAGTTCCCGCGGTACAACACTAAAACGAGACTCGTGACGCCACTGCCAGGACTCGTAGCCGGCGAGCATCGTAGCCACGTCGGCAGCGACAGGTGTGGTCCTGTCTTCGCGCCGAGGACGCAGTGCTGCTCCGCGATAGGCGGTAAGTGAGAGTGTGCTCCGCCGTGATCTTATCGCAGCCACTGCGGTGGTGGCACTCTGGCGTGAGATCTCTTCGGGCGACCAGCTGCAGGTAGCGGTCGAAGCAGCCGTGTTCTGGCGTGGTGGTACAACGGGTTCTCGACCCTTCTAATCGGACCGCATTACTGGTTCACGGCAAAAATGGACAGGCTCGTGGTACGTACACGTGCAGGCTTACAGAACACCCAGTATCTTAGTTATGTACCAAAATAAAATACTAATAAAAAGTAATTTTACAGTCAATAAATAGAAAATAAAACTTTAAGCAGCACTATGTTAAATTATTGACGAATAATTTAACTTAGTCATTCGTGACTATATTAACTAAAATATTCCATACATCATACTTAATATTTTAATTGGACCTAAAATCGTGACTATTTTGGAAAAATCTCCAATTCATATTCAATAAATAAAATTTTGACGAAAAATATTTAATGGCGTAGCGATCCCTTAATAAATAGACATCGGCTATCTTGCGATAGAAAATAGGGTGATAATAATTATAACCTATGTCTGAACTTGACCTAAAATCTTGTATCTGTGACAGATAAATATATAGTTACACAATTGCTCGTATTCCGGTAGTATGTCTCATTGTATCGGTTTGATAATTAAAGTTAATAAAAGTGATTTTATCTCTAGCAAAAGTAAACAAAAGAACTATTGGAGTCTGCTAGAGAACAATATGTAAGAAAAATAAATATATACATACTAGGTACGTATTATCCAGAAAATGCGTAGCGTAAAGTATTTTATGTTTATGTTAAATCAAAATAATTTAAAGGAATAAATTCTGTAAAACAATAAATCCTGGACGAAGTACGGCAACAAGGAATCTTGAATACGATTTCCGAACGAATAGTAACTGTCAAAAAATCCGTGCTCATCGAGCTTGTCACTGAGCTATTTATAAACAAACTACCACTGCGGCTGCGCGAGTAGCGAAATTCATGACATAAATATTGCCTAATTATCTTTTATCGTATACATAATGTGAGTAGCGTCCGATTCTACCCAGCATAGTCAATATAAACAAACCCACATGTAGACAAAAAAGGAAAACAGACTTACCTTCGCCTTAAGCGCGTAAACGGTACTCGAATTGCTGTAGTAATTCGTTGTATAAAACACAACACCGCCGCCAAATATACACGCGCACGTTGTTAGGGCTTTAGAAAAAGATTTATTACACTTCACATGGCCTAAATTACGGGTAAAAATCGGCGTAAATTGAACAATTTTGAATAATTTGCAAGAAGTACGGCCTAAGGTCGCCATGTTGGTAGAACAGCTGATTGTAGTGTGCGAAAGTGACGTATGTTATGAGGAAGCGAGAAGGTTTGATGTTTTGCGCATGCGCGAATACGATAATTTTTTGCATGTTGGTATGGTTTGTGTCTGTGGCGTATTCAGCGGACTAGGAAATGATTAAAATTTACATATTCATGCTTGCGAATACACACATCGATAGGTAGTGGTTTCCTTGACAAAGACAAACACTCAAGGTCAAATGATGATGGTGGTCTTTTGAATCAAAATTAATGTTAAAATTGAAGTAAGAACATGGAATTAATTTAAAATAGTACTAATTATTATTAGTTCATTGTAATGTAAATAAAGCAATGTACTCTTTTTGGTTTTCGTTAAATTTTAATTACTTATTTACTCTAGCTATTTTGTTTGGAAGAGTTTTCGCGAATTTATAAATGTAATTCTAACTTTTCATTCTACTTATATTTTTATCGCTACTCGCCCTATGACCGTGAACTCTAACGATATGATTAAATAGGAAGTAAAATGATGTAAAACATTATATAATGTTTAATGACATGTTAATTGATCGACCTCGTGGCGGAGCGCCGATATCGGGCGCGCCTTTCAAACCGAAGTTTCCGGCTGAAGAAAACCACTGCTAAGTTTTCATTCAGTATATTTCAGTTTTTAAGAATCTTGATACCTATTATCACCTTCATTATTAAAGTTAATCTCTATAGCTGAACATAGGCTTGTTCCAATGTTGCCCACTGCCGCTCAACGTTGTAATCCTTTGGGCTATATCGGTAACCATGGTTTTCCTGCAAATCTCTTCATTTCTGATTTGATCTCGTAGGGAAAATTCATATTATCATGATGTTCTATATTTTTTTCGAAGCTTATTGTGTTCCGTATGTTTAATTACCACAATCCTGCCTGTCTGTACGAATAAGTCATGTATTCTTTGAACAATAGAAAGGATGTAATGGTGACTCGAACTAAATGGCCTTAGTAAGCGATTGCATTTTGTTAATATAGCTAATATTTATTTTGTAGTAGTCCTGGAAAATTACTGGGAATTTGTCGAATTATTGACTCTCTTCTGACGCTTGCCTAGCACCTTAACCTTTTTTTTTTATTGCTTGGATGGACGAGCTCACAGCCCACCAGGTGTTAAGTGGTTAAGTAAGGTGTAAGTTTGCCTTATATTGTATTTAATTTTTACCATATTAAACAGACCCTACGCGCAATGTGTGTCCGATCTAAAAATTCCGCTGTGTCCTCCTCGATAGTTTCTTTAAAAAATTAAAGCAAAAACCATTGTTATCTCCCTTTTGATTTTTGCGTTTTCATACTTTTGTTGACTCTCCACACTACCTATGTCCTATGTCATCACTATTAGAATCTGTTTTACAGTTTTCTATGATTTATTTTGTCAAATGTAATACGGAGAGCGCGTTAGTTGTTCCAAACAGTTGAAAACTTATTTTATTAATTTGGCGCGTTCCCATTACCTACAGATATCGTGGTTGGTGATAGTTAAAATAATATATTAAAAAAGATTTATTATGAGGAATCTATAAGACATAAGTAGACAGTTGACGGTAGCGTAGCTTACAAGACAATATTTCTAACAATAGAAAATGGCGCTAATATTTTTTTTTAGGTTATGAACAATGAAACCCAACTTAAAACAATTTGTACAATGAAATCCAACAGTGGATCCGTCGGTTGTCACAATTACGAAATAGATACCGATTGAACAATGTTCATCAAACGCGGTGTCTCATATTTAAAACATGAACACCAATTATCCAGAGCCAAACGACCCAAATTCTTCACGCCATTTGTTTTATTAGCAACACTCACAAGCACTAGGCATTTTGAACTGCTAATGTTGCATTAATGTCCTAGTTTTCTATCTCGCTCCTTTGTTTCTTGGGGTGTTTGTTAGTGAAAGGGATAGAAAGCAATTGCTGTCGTGAATCATATTCAGTGCGTGCATTCATTTAGTAATGTAATACTGCTTTTCTTTGTAGATGCAGAATCGCTTCCTCGTTTGAAATTATATCATCTTTAAATGAGATTGTTTATTGGCTTTCATTAGGTTTTTAATTATATTTGGCTATTTTTAGAAAGCTTCCCTCATAAAATTTTATAAATAAATGAATGTCGTATTGTATGGATCGGACTGCTGGACTACGAAAGCGATGTAAGAAAGGATAATGCATGCGGTAGAATGTTAAGATGGATGTGTGGAATAACAAGAATGGATGAAATTAGAAATTAGTTTTTAAGGGGAAGTCTGAAAATAGCACCAGTAACAAAGAAATATAGTGCAATGTTATCGTGGCATGGGCATTTTATGTTACATAGATAGGTGAACGAACTATTGGGTCTTAAAGTAAATGCCGCCACATTGAGACACGAGTTTGATGCGAATGCACCGGGCGTTGTATCTAACAGACCACGACGACTTCAGTTTTTCTTTAATGTATCAGCAAACTGTACAAATATTGATCCATAAAGTTCTACATACACGCAGAGTATTAAATCAACAAACAATCATGACGTAAACGTTGAGACGATCGGTGCGTGTACCTACGTGCCGAGTGTTGCCAGTAAATCAACGTGCAAGAAACTTGTATGTAGTTATTAAATTTTCCGAGTATTATTAATCTTCATTAACAGATATTGTCTATTCCGCTCATACGTTCCGGTTAGAACAAGAGGGCCGTTTTATATTAATAAGGTTTCAAGTTAATTTTTTAATGTAGATTGCGGCATTTACGCTGTTGCCTAGAAGCTGCTTTCATTTAGCAACGAATGCGGCGTAGTCTTCATCATAAAAAATTCGATACATGTAAAAGCTTCGAAGCAGTCAACGGGCGTCAAAAGCTATAAATAGTCGTTAAAAATTCCTTCAATGTACTTTGACACTTTATGTCAAGGTCGGTGTCATTCTCTTTATGACAATGAATTCGTCGTAGCCTAAATGATAAGACGACGGGTGCACTCGTATCGAGCGATGCGACCGCACGTGTTCGAATCCGCCGGCAGGTACGAATTTTTCATACTAAATACCTAACAAATGTTCACGAATGAGTTTCACAAATCTATACTGGTGTAAATATTTACTAAACACCTGTTTATTATGAAGCATCGTGTAATAAAAATCAAGTTGCAAAATTTGAAATTAACTTATTTACTTACAAATTTACTCAAATTATGAGCCGCACCTACCTATCCGGTAGCACGATCCAACCTATTTACTGTAAAGCTCTTATTTGCTCCAGTCTTAAGACTTGAAGGATGGGAAAGCAGTTGTAAGATCCTATTTAAACATAGTTCTCATCTCAAGATGGGTGGCTGGACTCATATTGTGATGTCATAGGGCTTTGGTAACCACAACAGCATAGTCGATCGTTCAACATCAAATACACATACTTGAATTTCAAAGGTAACAAACAGTGCGATTCATGTTGCATAGCTACAGACTTCATAAAGTACCTACTTTAGGTCAAAAGGTCGAAACAAAGGGTAAAATGTGAAAAACATCAAAGGTAAAAAATCGAAGCACCTCATAGTTACACATTCAGGAGGAAAAGAACGAAAAAAATCTATTTACAAGCTCTTTATTAATTAATAAATTTAAAAATATCTTCAAACAGTGAATTCTAACAATGGCAATACTCATTCCAGAAATGATAGTCCAACGTGTAAAGCAATACTATTCGGTTTCCGCTTCTAAAGTCTCACTCTCTAAGCATTGATTTTCGTTACTGTCATGCAGTACTTGTTCGTTAATCGAGTCTTGGGCAACAAACTCCACTGTACAGCTCTCCGATGTATTTGTTTGAACAGAATGCATTAAAACTCGTTTAACTGAATCTGCACTGTCGTACATTCCATACTCTGCTTGCCATAATATAGTTGTGATTAACTGCTGAAGATTCCCTCGTGTTTTTGGCATTTTAAACTTCCTTAGTTTGTTCGCGATGTACTCTCCAAAGACAGTATATTCATCCTGACGTTTAGATTCTTCATAAATTATCTTCCGGTCTGACTTTGGTGCTACATAGAATCCTGGCAAACCAGTTGGTGATTGCACTTCTCTTTTGATCGGTCTGTATTTCATTTTCTTGCGTTTCGGTTTCGGTTCGTATGTTTCAATGTGTGTGATTTCGTATGGATCATCAACGAGCCAGTCTTCATCGGATTGTTGGCTACCGTGCATCTGTTTCACCAAATTTATTGTAGCATCGTTGTCTTCCTCCTCCAGGTCGGAGTTCTCTAGCACATTCACCTGAAATTTTATTATGTTAAGAGACAAAACAAATACACAAAAATACACAAAATAAACTCAAGAGTCCTATTGAGGTCATCAGTCATATCAGTAATTAAATCTTACAGCAGGTACCTAACTTTCTAAGTGAACTATTCAGTCATTTTAGTAAATTAAACGCCAAAAGATTGTTAAGCTTAATGTGTAAAATGACAACAACAAACAATGTCTTCTGGACTCATGAGGATGAGTCCGACACTTCTGTGAATTTAAAATTATGCTCTTCAGTCAAACAACTGAACAAATGAATATTCATTTAGAAATTTCTTTTTTAGTTCTTGCCATTTGTTGAGTGGTGAATTTTGTAGAGTACGGACAGATTGATTTTGATTAAGTACAATCGCCAGCACTATGATTTCATAGAAACAACTATAAATTTTGATTTGTATGCTAGGCTTTTTTAAGATGCAATAGATCTCAACCTCAAGCTATAACAATCTTTTTGTAGTCATAAAGTGCTCCGGTAACTACTTAGCATGAAGAAAAGTAAGAATCTGTCTGCTCATGTAAATAAATGGCTAGGTATGTGGTGTTAGCTTAAAAAACAAACATGACACCTATATAATGAGCAGAAGTCTTCTCTCCGATTACTAGTTCACAGAAATTTCAAGACCCTTCACATCCCACTTATTTCGTCTTTGGCAAAACAGACATACACAGTTGATGTGAAACTTCAACCATTATAGTCATAGTAGTAGTAATAGTAATTTTGTGATATCTATTTAGAAATATTTCAGATAGGCAATCGGTATATCTGCTCATCACAAGAATGAATTTTACAGAGCATTCATTTTCATCATATCATTGGCTAGCTGACTCCCATTGCTATACAAAGGCTGGTTATGGACCAATTTTGCATGATTGTACAAAGAAGAAAATATATAATTTCTTTTTGTATTCTCTAAAGAAAAACATATTATTAAGAGATTTTTGAAATGTTAAATTAAATAACTAGTGTTAACTAATTATTAACTAGTGTTTAGGTAAATTGAATTATCAACAAGAAACATTTAAGATTAATATTTTATAATTTAAAAGTTGCATGTCAACAAATCTTAAACTTATTTAAAGTTTTGAACTTTCAAAATAAAGGTTACCTTCATAAATGCCACTTTAATATGTTTCTAGTAACATGATAAATCAATACAGACAAAACTTTATATATGTAACAAAATAGAACTATGTATGGAACTTAGTGCATATGGGTAATCATTAAAATTCACTAGGTTTATTATTTAGAGTATTAAATTTCTTAGTCTTTGACAATTTTACTCAATGTATATAGACCACGTGTGAACAATGAGTTTCCAATTCACCGTAAAAACAGCAACACTCAAAATTTGTTCATAAATAATAACCTCAACATTAACTTAGATATTTTGAACGATTTTTTGCAGCTAATCGATTTTATATTATTCAAAATAAATGGTTTTATCAACTTGTGACGTATTCGGAACAGACCTTCGAATCGATAAAATAAATCGATCGATGGGTCGTGATAAGCTGATAAGGTTACCAAAATAACCAATTGTTTGGGAAATAGTAGCATAACATAATATTTTAGGTACCCGCTGAATGTCTATCGTAGGCATTGTTCCTGTTGATTCTTCGTTATTATCAATTGATACTGAATAACGTACATTTTTGCTTCCTCGGGGTGTGTATTTTCTTTTCTGCGGCGTTGAAGAAGATTGAATTGAATCACCGTCTTCAAAACGAAAATTTGATTCGTCCAATGTCCCATTTTGTGTTAATTCCCACTGTATTGGATGTTTATTAGTCAAATGTACTCTGAGATTTGTTGTATTACCGAAGTATTTGTACTGATTCTCACACAATTTACACACAACCGAGACGCACCTCTTATTCTCTTCAATACGCTCAAAAAATCGCCACACAACAGATGATACTTTCTTCATATNAAAACGAAAATTTGATTCGTCCAATGTCCCATTTTGTGTTAATTCCCACTGTATTGGATGTTTATTAGTCAAATGTACTCTGAGATTTGTTGTATTACCGAAGTATTTGTACTGATTCTCACACAATTTACACACAACCGAGACGCACCTCTTATTCTCTTCAATACGCTCAAAAAATCGCCACACAACAGATGATACTTTCTTCATATTGTTATCGATTCGAGATTGATAATCAGTTTGCCGCCTATTTTCCGATGATTATTGAAACGAGAACGATTATGACCGTGTATCGAGTAGAAAGCAATGCGAGTTGAATTTCAGTCAACAAAATGGCGAGAATCGAGCGCGCATCGATAGCAGTGACGCCACTAGTTCACCAATTATGATTCGTTCCGTTGTACAACTTCGATCCTAAAGCTATTTGAAAAGAATTAGCTCTTAATGCTCAAGAAATAAAGGTTATGCTGCTAGCATTTGAGTTGGGATTTGACGCAAAGAGTAAATCTGTCTCTTTTACTCGTGAAGTCTTACATTTGTATCCTCTCTGTTTCGCGTAAAATGGTTGGTTGATGATATGTCATTTGTAAGGGTATCCAACATTAAAATCGTGGAGTTTTAAACGACGCAGCGATTTTTTATAAAGCAAAGGGATTCTACATAAGAAATACCTACCAGATTTTTACATGTATCGGATTTTTAAAAACTAATTGAACAGGGTAAGTTAAAAACAAATGCTATGTTTTACTGGATTATCGGGAATATTACAAATTAGCTAATATTTATTATCATATTTTAAAAAAAAGGAAAATTATAATGAAACTCAAATTTATAGTTGTATTTTATTGTCGTCTTATTAATAATGTTTAATTATATTTAATAAAAAGTCATTATAATTTTGAATAGCTTAAGAAATAGTATATCGGCAATAAACAATGTGCACATTTTAAGTAAGATTTTTTTTAGTAACTTTGTAATAACGTTAAAAAAATAACATTTTTTTATTATATATATTTTTATAGATCATTGTGAATAAAATGAAGTTGATAACTTGGTAGATTTATTTTATTTTTATCAATAAAAAAATCATAATAAAAAATGTATACCCGAATAATTATTTTCTTTATACCTCGAATAGAACTTAAAATTATTATTTTTATAATAAGGAACTTCGTTCCTATCCGGTGTCCCACGACACCACACATCTTTTTTTAAGTCACGTATGTATGTATGTATGCAATAATTACACTAACGAAGTTCAAAACATTAAGTTTTTCTACACAACAGATCCCAAGAATTGAATGTCGGGCAACTGCTTGCCCAGACTAAACAAAGTCAAACAAAATGATTAAAAAGATTTCAGATTCAGAAGCCGTTGTGGCCTAAGAGATAAGACGTCCGGTACATTCGTGTTGAGCGATGCACCTGTGTTCGAATCCCAGGCGGGTACCAATTGTTCTAATGAATTACGTACTCAAAATATTTTTTTTTATTGCCCTTGTATGCAGACGAGCATACGGCCCACCTGATGGTGAGTGGTTACCGTCGCCCATGGACTTCAGCAATGCCAGGGGCAGAGCCAAGCCGCTGCCTACCGCTTAATACTCTCCATAAGCCTCGTTTGAAGAAGGACATGTCATAGCGCAAATGTTCACGATTGATTTCCACGGTGAAGGAATAACATCGTGTAATAAAAGTGAATTTGATTATAAATATAACAATTATGATTTTTGATCGCGATGAAGTATGCGCTACAATTACCGTATCGTGTGATATTAGAAAATATTATAATAAATAAATAAATTGCACTTTGTTCTATATAGCTGTTTTTATAATTTTTTTCTGCTTCAGAAAAAAAATATAACAGTGGTCACAATTTGTTTGTAACAAATTGTTAAACTAATAAATAATTAAATAATTAATAAATTTTTTTGTGATAGTTCTTAAAAATCGTAATTAACAAATTAATAAACTTTATGAACATTTATCGCAGGATCTTATGAAGTATATATATGAAAAGGGCTCACGAAGTTTCAAATTTATAGGCCATTTATTTATACCTTTTATGCCATTATTTATGCCAACGGAGATTAAAAAAAATCAATAACTTTTTTAAAAATGGGGATAAAACTTTTTTTCCAACGGGGTTATAATCTTTTAAGTGTTAAGAATATACTAGAATTTTTTAAAATTTATAAATGACATTTTATGTTATAAAAAAAGTATTTTATCTGACGAACTCTTTTTAGCGGTGGTGCGCGCATGCCGTAAAAGCCACGCGAAGCCCTATGTTCACGTCAAATTAAAATTATAAATAATAGAGATAGAGTTCCGGGAGTACGGACATTTTTTATTGGAAATTACCTCCTCTTTAACGAATTTTTTTCAAAGTTTCTTAGTTATTAATATTTTTCGAGTTATTAACGAAAAACTAAATATAATTTTTTCGTAATAAAACAATTGCAATTTTTTACCTGCACCAAAATCGTTCAAAAACATTTTTCTAGAGGTGATTCCGAATTCAATGAGCTATCGCTCATATTTTTAGGACCTTCATCTCTATTTTTCACGTTTTTGAACTTGTTGACTAGACAGTAGTCTAGAGGTTTATTGAAAATTATTATACCGGATGTAAGGATCAACTGTACAGGTACAGTTACAAGGTACAGCTGGTATATCTAGAAATTGTTGAACAACATTAAAAAAAAAAGCAGTTACCTATGATACACAAGATTTTTGGCCCACGGGGTCTCCTGAGTAGTAACTTTCGCCAGCTACTTGGCCCCGGACTTATGATTGACAGAGCACGAGTTTACGAATAGGAAGGCACTAGTAATTATAAGACACATAAGTGATTACATTAAGATTATTGTTATGGTCCCATTTTCCTCCCTACCTATTGCTATTATGGTAGGCATCGGCTTGGCTCTACCCCTGGCATTGCTGAAGTCCATGGGTAACAAACAGTTCACCATCAGGTGGGCCGTATGCTCGTGTACGCCTGCTAGGGCAATAAAAACAATTTTTTTTATTGCATAAGCTAAGTTTCATCGGAGTTGTGAATGTGTAGGCAATATAACAGGTGTGTGTGTGTGTCACTGTGTTGACATCTGCCTTAGTAAGAGCTTAGCAGGATCTCGTCGTCGTGGTCTAAAGGATAAGACGTCCGGTGCATTTGTATCTTGCGATGCAATGGTGCTCGAATCCCGGAGGCGAGTACCAATTTTTCTAGTGAAACACGTACTTAAAAAATGTTCACTGTTTCTGCAGTGAAGCAGTAATGCGTTTCGGTTTGAAGGATGGGGCAGCCGTTGTACTGTACAAACAGATACCTTAGAACTCATATCTCAAAGTAGGTGGCGGCATTTATGCTGTAGATGTCTATGGGCTCCGGAATCTTAAATCGGAATCGCGGCCCACTGAGAAGATCTGGCGAGAGACTCAGGGGGCTTTGTTGTTGTATCTCAAGTTATCGACGTGTACTTCGTATTAAATAAAAAACTATAACGGTCTACCGGATTCGAACACAGGCATAGCTGCATCGCAATACGAGTATACACAACATCTTATATTATAGGCCACGAAACCTCTTAAAAAAAATTGTCATGTCAGTTCACTCCAGTCGAACCTTCATAGGCGACAGGAGTATGCGGTCATTTCTAAGTAGGTACCGTTTTTTGTTGTTGTTGTAAATTTTAATTTTTTTTTGGGATTTTATGACTTGGTATTTACAACCTTTAGGTCAACTCTCTTATTTTTCATAGCACATTCATAGACGCCATATTATGGCTATGAGTACATTCCATTAAATTGTTTGTTGTAAATAATGCAACGTGACACAGATAATAATAAACATCATATTTGAATTTCGAGCCTGTCATTTTCGCGCCGAGCTCATTGTTAATTTTCAAATTGTTTAAGTATTTTATTATTTCAATAACAAAATAGGAAACACCAGTTCTCATATAAAAATCAATTAACAAAATCGTTTCAGCTATAAAAACGTTCTGATGTTACGCATTAAAAACAGTGTAATTGTCCTAGTTTTGAAGTCCGTTAAAAATCATATGGCCTGCGATTTATTTATAGAAGGGCAAGGGCGCAGAATTCGCACCATAAGTTTCACAAAATAATAAAAAACAAACGCTAGTAATTGTGTATGAATAATCAAACATTATTTTCTCTTGTGTTTGTGTAATACATTATTTACATTTCGGGTTCGAGAGCTTTCTTTCAGCCGTGTAAGGATTGTGAAAAATAAAACTAGAAGAATGTATAGAATCATTTTATTTATTTGTCGGTATAAGAGGCTGTGTAAATTATTGTCAGATAGGTAGTTTCGATCGATTATTTTGACTATAGTTGGGTATAATCGAATTAAGAGCTACATTAAAAATCGATACTCGAAACTCATTATCGATTATGTTTTTAAATGCACTAAGCAAACGTATTTTTTTTAAATATATAACTAGGCGTTGTAATAGTACATATTGATATTAATTAAGTAATACTGTTACTCCTTAAACACTCATTTAAGCTTCTTTTTTTTAAATTATTGTTTTCAATAATTTGGAATCGCGGGAAAAATGAACTGTCAATTCTTGTCAAGTCTGTATGGTGGCACCATAGTGGCACGTGTTCATTGATTTGTACTGTTGATTTGTAATATAAGTATATCGGTTTGTATATTGACAGTCCATTCTAACACGTTTCCTTTTCCATTCCGTTAAGTATTTCGTAAAAGTATTTACTTTGCAGCAAAAAAATAAAAATAAATTGTAAACCGGAAGTAAACCCAAGCGGGAATTTCATAAGTTATGGCACATGGACAATTAAATAATTAAAAAAAAACACTCTTATTTTTACACCGTCACTGATACAATGGTTTACAAACTCAAATAAATCATTTTAAAATCACTAGTTGTGCAGAGATAGGTATTTTCGATATAGGTTTAATTAAAATCAAATTTAAGCTACAAACATTTTTTGGCGTTTCCGTGTCGTATCAAAATCGATTAAAAGACAAAAAGCACTGAAATCGTCTTTTTATTATTGTTTCATTATAAAATTTCTTCAACTTCGACTTATGGTAATTTACTGATAAATCTAAAATTTAAAAATATTTTTACATAACAAGCGAGGAATTTTGTTCGCTGTTTTGGCGCGATAATTGCAGTTCTATTTTTAAATAGACAATATTTTTAAAAGACGTGAATCAGCCATTTTTATATTTTCTATGATCTGAACCGTAAGGACGTTTGTTTTAAGAATATTTAAGTGCAACTAATTCTTTACGCAGATAGTAAAAACAGTGATTATTGCTTGCAATAAAAGAGGCACATCCTACGTTATGTTCGTAGTTTAATTTTCATAATGTTTCAAGACCAAAAAAATACGATTTCCCAGAGTGATAAGTGGTTTATTATTATAAATATTATTATTATTAGAAATAAAATAATTGATATTGAGTTTGTAAGCGACGCACCTCGTCTAACCTGTCAGTTTCAATACGTTACAGCTAAGGCAGTATTATCAATGCTTAATATCCTTAAAATCACTATTCATATAAAACTACAAAACTATATACTGTAAGTAGAATTACTGTGTTTCGATTTGAAGTTATACTTCTTTTGCCGCGCTGTGGGTTGTAGTCTTTGTATTAGAAATATCAAGCGTATGAGGTTAGCCGCCAAACATCAGTTAACCTATGTTCAAAATTTCAAATTCGGCCATCTGAATTCCTCTTTATCCTGTTATTAAAATTAGCTGTTCTTTATTTTAATTTTATGTGCGTATTAAAGTAGATTAAATTATATAAAAAAAAAACTTATCTTTTAGGCACGTTAAAGAAGCACAACTTCTTACGGGTGTCTACGCTCCCATATATTGTTTATATTATACATTACCACAAAATACTGCTTCTAAGCTATAACTAAAGATCGATTGGTGTTTTTTTTTTTTTACATACGATTCTAATAATCGATTTCATTGATTTTCCAATACGAAAACGACAAGGAATCCGACGCGATTCGATTCGATTTTGCTGAACGAGTAAATGCTTCACTAAATACAAAATTCAATGTCGTTTTTGTACTACATACATTAACGTTAAACATAATATAAATAAGATAATGAATTCATTACACTACGCATTACAGTCGTTAAGCATTACAAACAGCTCCTGCGTTTTGTCAATCAACGAACATTTTTACATTGGCAACATTAGGGAATGTAAGCTAAAATTACTTTTTTAATTCATTATAAACAAAACTGGGCTATGGCTACTTGTATAGTCTGTGCACATTTTTTTCTAGAAAATAATAATTATACACGTGATTGAAAGAAAAAAAAAAGCTACTATTATACATTCGTGTAGTAGAATTTTTATTAACCAAGATGCGAGAATAAACCGTTTACCCGAAGAAAATGCAGTTAAATAATTAGTAATTCTTAACTATTTCTTTTTTTTCTATAAATAAAAATACCGTTTCAACTTGTTACGATGTGTTAATCAATAGTTTGCACAGTTTTACGCAGAAAAAGCCTAAAACATCACTCAATTGACGATGATGTGCGAATTAGGAGTCGATCGGTAAAATGTTCGCTGATTTAACATGAGATTCACACGTGCCTATTCCTTTGGCGAGCCCACGAGCTCGTATCGATGTCATAAGTCAATGACGTGTGAATCTAGGACAGGACGTGGCGAGTATGAAGGTTTCAGTCAAAGTAATGAGGTCGAATTCTTGACTTTTTTTTAAATTATAGCTAACAAAAATTTACATTCTTTCATACGTGCATGTATTACGAAGACCGTAGCGTTTTATATGCGTTTTACGACGCCACCGAAATAATTTATCTATTGATTCGAATTGATAACACTGACGTCAGAATAATAATTAAAATGCGAGGATCGTCACTAAAGAGAATGTTACCGTCCATAATACATTCAATCACATTATTAGCAAATGCACCAATTACACCCTATACAAACCAGCACTCGTTGTACCTGAACAGACTTAAAATATACATATAATACAAATTAATATTTATATTTAGAAATAATAATTAAAAAATTGGCTCACTAAAAATACAAGCGTATGGAATCCTATATATCTACATTCGGTTGGAACTAAAGGGGACGAGAGAATTATATTAAATAAAAAAAAAATCATCAACTAAAACGTTAATAAAATACATTCTCTAATGGAAAATTAAATAAATAAATTTACAATGTAACGTACATACGCGTTATGCCGATTTATTTAGCGATGGAGTTTACAATTCAACACATTAACGGGAATTGACTTGTGTCGTATGAAAAGCTATGGACACACTGTAGGCCGCGGTGGGCAAGCACGCGACAGCCCTATCAATGTCGTGATCATTCTACGTGATTTTCTGTACTAATTTTCCCATTCATGAAGCTTTCGATACTGGTGAAATTCCCACTGTTATCTTGTTAAATTACCAAAAATATCTACACCGACGTCCTGCAAGCTCTGAAGGAATGAAAGCATTTTACAACATTATAAACGATACTGTACTTAATCCTTTCGTAACATTTTATTAAAAAAAATAATTATATGGCTCTTCAGTTTCAGTTTTCCGTTCTTTAATTCGTCTTGTTACTACTATAACAAGACCTCCTTGAATAGTATATGAGATAAATTGCATTCTATATCGCTTGATGAATTTCGTATAACAACGCCAATGATAATAGGACGTGCTTGCCCATACTAGCCAGCTGTGTAGAAGCGCCTTAAACTATGTTGACATTTTGATTAAATTGCACAGATTATCTTTTACGATTGACATTTAAACAGGGATTAAACGTCACAACTGTCATTCTGACTCGGCTCCCGCGGATTCCCGATATTGCGTTATGATATTTAAAAGGTTTTCGATAAAAATATTTTCGAGTGATACGATCGGACCTGTTTCACTCACAACTCATTTATCTCCATCGTATCGACAAAAATTACTAACTAATAGTCACTTCATCGCCATTACGATTATCACTACGCACTCGAAGCAAAGACGAGTGTATTTCGACTTAATTTTCAACCTCACTGACTCAATAGTTCTATATAATTTGTATAGAAAATTAAATAAGAGATTGTAGAAGTGTGCCCGCTCGTCTAAGCTTCGATAAATAAGCTTAATAAATACAATAACAGAAGCGTGCCGCCCGCCACCTCTTCCTATCATAGCCTAGTCCGAAGCCAACAATACTATAATACTCAGTCCAATTATCAGTCAATTTCTTATGAAATTACACCTTCAACACACAATTTCTAAGTACTTTTTCGTTTGAGAACTACCAATGTGCTCATAAACTTTTTTAATTACCATATAGATTAAACACCATTTCCAGGTATAATCTACATAGTTTTTTTTTTTTTTTTTTATTTAATTACAATTGTATTAATAAAAATAAATGTTGAAATTTTGAGCAATATTTTGTGTCCGCCATGCGTATTTATTAGTTTTGATTCAAAATGATTAACTGTTTAATATTAATTATTAACGTTTCATTATTAACTGTTTAGATAATAAACATTATAAGATTTGTTATAGATATTTCCAGAACTATTTTTGTGAAAGCGGAAACAATGCGACTAATTAAAATACCTGAACAAGAAATCTATTAGTTTCTTATCGAATCTCGTTTAAATCAAACTCATAATTATTAATTCGAGATTTTAATACCAAATTTTCAAACGTTCCAAGACGTAATCCGTATAAGATAAAGCAATTACGAACATAGCTTCTAATGTTATTAACATCCAATTAGTTGGGAATTACAAATGGACTGAAGGAATTCAAAGTGAACGAACGCATTCGTAGTTCCAAAACGAAAAGTATTTAGGCTAAATTTAATAAGACAGGAGTTCTACCACTGTTCCACCTTAAAATCAGATTACTTTTATACAATTATATCGAATAAATTTATAGCTAACGTTTTAATTAATTTCGTGATAAGTAAGTGATTAACTTAACTATTCGAATAACACGAATGTAACTAAGTAACACGAACTAGGAATAAAAAGAGAAATGAAATAAATTTTGGAAGCTTTGGTAATTGTATTTAATGTTAATTAATATCAATATTTATACGGTACATCGGGCATTATTGTCGCACAACGATGCATGAGTATTTATTTTATTAAAACTCAATGTAAAAAAGAAGTTAATTTAAGGATCTTATGATATATTTACACTGATTTATTTCTCTAATCGTTGTCCATACGAGAGAGCACGGTGCTATTGACGCGGCGCTGATAATAAAATACTGTGCCTATAAAGAATGAGATAGAATCGATTTATAAAGTTCTTAGTTATGAGGAAGAGCCCTGAAGATCTACCACTCGGTGTTAAGTGATTAAGAGCCTATCGTTACTATAATTCGAATACCTAAACGCTATGACGGCCACACGGAAGGAATCATATCGAGAAGTGAAAGTGGTTATTTGGTTTTAGCAACATTTTTGCAACTTTACAGGAGAGCGATTTGCAGTTTGTAATTTTGAAAAAAATATCATAACAAAAAACAACAAAAAAAAACTTTAACGATTTGAATGGAGTAAACCTAATTTAAGTTCAATTAAAAACAACAAACTTTGGATCCTGATACCAAATAAAACGCACCATTAATTACAAAGATAAATGTCGCGTATAAAGCGAGATGTCACGTATTAAGCGAGATGTCGCGTTTTAAGCGAGATGTCACGTATTAAGCTAGATGTCGCGTATTAAGCGAGATGTCGCTTAAACCAAATAGCTTTTCATCAATCGATATAGTCATCTGACTGGAAAATCGTTTTGTTGAGGGATTTTCAGGTGGAACTGTGGTAGTGGGTTAAAGCGACGCGGACGGCAGCCCCGACCGCGAGCAGGGCGGGGGTCACGTGCGACCGGCCGCCTCCTGCGCGGTCGCCGACCGAAAAAACTCGGCGTCAGTCGTGGTCGACATGGTGGACATCGTGGACTCGTCCCACGTCACCTCCGTCGTGGTGGTCGTTCCGTTTATGTGTTTTCTCCTCGACTTCGGATGGCGTTGCTTCTTTTTGGGGTTCTTCACTTTTTTGTGCTTCCGTTTGTGCCTCATGTTCTGAGGCTTGACCGAGCAGTTTCTGTGTTTGGGCGGGGGCCTCTTCAGCTTGCCCCTGTGCCTTTTGGGTGAGCAGTGCGTCTGATTGGGTCCCTTCCATTCTGTGGTCAGCGAGAGCGCGTAGTGCGACAGCTTCCCCAGAGGCCGCGACAGTGGTATCTGCGTTCGCCTGGCCTTCCCGTTGCTGCCGAGGGCCACGTACGTCTTCTTCCCGGCTCGTATCCGCGAGTACGTGTTGTAGTTGTTCTCTTCTATATGCTCTTCGAAGACGCAGTCGTCCGACAGATCCCTCTGGAACAACAGAGAGAAAGAAAAACTTTAATCGATATTTTTGGCTTTTATACGTTTCATTAGAGAGAACAATCGCGTTTGTATGATGATTGGCGAATGATAATCGCAACTGGTGTTCACGGGAACGCCAATGAAACCTAAGAATAAATTCTTCAGTATCTCTGTTAAATAGGGTGGCAATTCATTACGCCTCGTAAATAAAGGTCGTTAATGGTCCTTGGTGGACAAAACGGCGCTTATATAACGGAAGCTCCGTATAAGGCGGCGTCCAAACAAGCTCCCGGTTTGAATTGGGTCCTACAGTTATGTCTCCCGCCCCCGGTTCTCTAAGAGGCTCGAAACATCCATTTCCATCCATCCATTTATATCAATACGTGTAAGCGAAAACTTCGGGTGCGGGAGCATTATTGTTCCTAAAACCCATAGACACAGCCCACTGAGTTTCTCGCCAAACCTTCTCCGTAGGTCGCGATTCCCGTTCCGATAACAGATTATCGACGGCAACCAGACAACCTCGAAAAAATAGCTGTGGTGGGCAAGGCGAAAGGGAAAAAAACTTCCGGCCGTTCACTAAGTCGTTGGATCAGGTCACCGCGCTCACCGGACTCTATGTTACAGCCGCCCTGAGTCGAAAACCGAACGAAGTGGAGGATGGTTGTACAAAGAGCCATGAAGGCCTTTCAAGGACACGACCTTCAGCAATAAAGTGCGCGGCCAAGAAGAAGTATAGATTCTGCGAAGCACTGCTCTTGTTAGGGCTAGTGTTGGCAATTTTTCTGAGGTTAAGCTCGTCCGGGCGTAACTGGAATAGCCCCTTTGGCTACCAGTGAACAGGTAGGGGGAAAAGATTGTTCCGTCGTGCCTCACAAAGCCGCCGTTAAATTCAATCTGCGCTAGTTTGATATCGGAGCTCTCGCTGCAACCATGCGGAATTATACAAATTGATTTGTGGGCTTCGTAATTTCCTATCGGGCAGCTCGCTTTGTTTGAGGCGCGAACGAACCGATCGCGACATTCTTATAATTAGGACAAGCGTCATAACGATTCGGGCTTGTGATAGAATAGAAACATCTGCTCTGTTATTCGTGAATACATCTTTAGTTTGAGTTAATTTTAGAGAAAGATGCACACAGAGTACAAAAACCTTTGCTTGTTTGGAATGTTAAAAAAAATATTAAAACAGAACATATTGTTTTAATTGCTTTCTCTGTACTATGTATTTGGTTATTATCAAACGGTGTTGAAACTTGATACAGTTACGGTACATTTGTATGTTTGGCATTTCAGTTGGTATTGTAGGGTATATATGTAGTAAGCGTGAGCAAGATGGCGCACGAATAATTTAATAAAATTCATGTAGTTCATAAGTTTTGTAATTATAATATTATAGGATGTCTGGCATTCATTAAATTGGCGAGATTAATTATCTGTGTCTATTTTTGGGCTTAAACGTTTTTTGGACTTTTTGGCGGGAACGCGAGGAGTGAAGTTGTGTGATTTGTTTTATTTTGTCTATTTAGTGTTTCTTCGGGTTTAAATGTGTAATAATGGTGGTTTATTAACCGTTTAATATCTGTGAAAGTGCACAAATGTGGAAAAATGAAACAAAGCCGCTGGACGTAACTTCTCGGGATCCTCCAAAAAGTCCACTGAAAAATCTTAGTAAATGACCACCATTTTACTGAGATTAGATTTCATCTCATATCATCTCATTTAATTTCATCCCAGTTGATTAATGTCTCAAATTAATGATTTTCATTTCATTTCACTCCATAATATCATTTTTCATAAAATTAAGAATATAGATTAAAATAAGACATGACTTAAAGGTCTCAGATACCAGGTCATAAAATCTCTTAAAAAAAAAATTATACGGTTTTTTTCTTGGTTTGATTACTCTACTTTGGACCGGTAAATGGAACGTAGTCATACAGCCAAATCTTTTGTAAACAACCAAAGCTTGCTTGATCTTTGAAAAGCGCAATGAAATGGAACTGATTACGGAAATGAAATTTATTATAGAATAAAATTTAATTAAATGAGGTAAGTTACGACAGGATGTTAGCCCTTGTATCAATTGAAATGCAATTCAGTGAAACTACTTCAAGTTTAGCAGACTGTTACATTTTCCATATTTATGCACTTTCACAGATGCTAAATAGTTAATAAGCTACCATTATTGCGTGTTTCAAATCTAAAGAAACAGTAACTTAACGAACATGTTCAGGTACACGCCAAAAGTACGCGATTCATTCGAAGCTCGACTTGCAGAATGAAGGCGATTTTTGGACAGGCCTTTCGGCTGATTATAAATAAAATAATGATGAACATTATTTTAAGCTGTGGCTGTTTAACAAGAAAAATTCAATTGGACCTTTTGGCGGGAACGCGAGGAGTGAAGTTGCGTGATTTGTTTTATTTTGTCTATTTAGTGTTTCTTCAGGTTTAATAACTTCAGGGTAATAACGGTGGTTTATTAACTGTTTAATATCTGTGAAAGTGTACAAATGTGGGAAAATGAAATAAAGCCGCTGGACGTAACTTCTCTGGATCCTCCAAAAAGTCCACTGAAAGAGTCTCAGTAAATGACCACCGTTTTACTGAAATTATATTTCATCCCATATCATCTCATCTCATTTCATTTAATTTCATCCAAGTTGATTAATATCTCAAATTAATCATCTTCATTTCATTTCACTCCATATTATAACAACATGACGTGATCAGGTTTGAGCCCCATGAGCTCAGCTATTAATTCGGCGAATCTAGAATAACCCCTCGATCTTACTAGAATAGGTAGGAACAAAAAAAGTTCTTGGGACGATGAATTAAAGACGCGTAATTAAATCCTTTCTTATTCACACGGATACGTCGTACCGTTATCAACAATTAAGTAATTAGACGATTCGTCCTAATTGTATCCAATTAAGTAACCCTTAAACGCGTTGTGTAGATAGACTCGTGGTAATGTTTTGATTATCAAGTCTTTTATTTGACTAGACGCTTATGGGAGCCGTCAGCGCAAAAGTGGCCTAACCTACAATTTTTCATATTCACGTTTTTTTTATTTTTTTATTGCTTAGATGGATGGATGAGCTCACAGCCCACCTGATGTTAAGTGGTTACTGGAACCCATAGACATCTACAACGTAAATGCGCCACCCACCTCGAGATATAAGTTCTAAGGTCTCAGTATAGTTACAACGGCTACCCCACCCTTCGAACCGAAACGCATTACTGCTTCACGGCGGAAACATAAACGTTTTGATGCAAAACCGGCCTATCCCTAGTTTCAGAGATAGATAACAGATGGCCTTATAAACATTATTTTTCGCGCGTATTGTTTTTGCCTACGAAGCAGTGTAAAATAAATTCAATCCTTGTTATCTTCTAGTATCACCCATAGATAACAGACGGCTTTGTAAATATTACTTTTTGCGTGTATTATCTTTGCCTACGAAGCAGTGTAAAAGTAAATTTAAACCTCGTTATCTCCATACTAACTATGGTAGGCTTAGGCCATTTTTGCACTAACGCCTCAATTACAATCACGTCCCTTGGCTACGTTAGGTGTTTCTCTACGGGATAGGGTGCGTAACACAGAAACACACAGAAGAACTGGTTTGTCTGACATAGCCGAAATGCTTGCTCGGACAAAATGGTGGGTGGCGCATTTACGTTGTAGATGTCTATGGGCTCCAGTAACCACTTTACACCAGGTGGGCTGTGTGATTGTCCAGCAATCTAAGAAAAAAAAAATGGAAGTGGGCAGGTCACATAAGCCATCGCACTGACAAACACTACATTTTTTTCCTACCTATGCTGATAGCCTTGTGAGGCTATTTCAGCTTCTCCTTGACGTGTAAGTGAGCTCACGGGGCCCAAACCGGAGGTGTTGCTAACACTGGCCCTAGCAAGAGCAGTGCTTCGCAGAATCTACCATCGGCTCAGAAACGCGACCCACTGAGAAGATCCAATGAGAAACTTAGTGGGCTAAAAACTACTAGAGTCGAGTCCTCATACTGGATATCATGAGCAAACAGCCAAGGAGATGGACCGAGGAACTGGTCAAAATAGTTGTTAAAGGACACGATATAAGGACCGATAGGTTTTTTTTTTTTACATTAAAATAGTATAACGATTTATTTCGGGCTTATTTTCTTTATTTTATATTCTAGAACTATCGATAAAATACGATTTTCGTGGTCTGTCGTTATGAGAGAATTTACTCAGTTATAAAAATAAAAAAATTAAATCTTCCTACACAGCGTACATCTTTTTACTTATACAATACAACAAGAAGTTTTATCTTATCAAATAACTACTAAAATAGCCTACAATAATAGTCGAAGGACCCTAGAGATTGATTAAACAGCGCGAGAATCTTATCGATAATCGTTTAGAGATTGAGTTCCGATAAGGGTCGGTATCGATAAAGCGGTCAAAACTTTAATTAGTCGAACGATAATATTGAATTCAGTTTAACTTAAGTGGACTAGGAAGACTTTTTTTTTATTAACGAACTTATAGTCTGCGTGTTTTTATTTATTTATGGCTCTTGTAAGCAGGGGAGTGTACGGTCCACCTGATGGTGAGTGGTTACCGTCGCTCATGGACTTCAGCAATGCCAGGGGCAGAGCCAAGTCGCTGCCTACCCTTAATCCACAAACCTCGTAAGAAGAAGGACATGTCATAGCACTCGGGAAACACCGATGTTGTTACCTGGTTACTATAGCCGACAGGTATACAGACGCGACTGCTTGTATCCACTCCATTTTACTGGTGGTAGGACCTCTTGTGAGTCCTCACTGGCAGGTACCACCGCCCTGCCTATTTCTGCCGTGAAGCAGTAATGCGTTTCGGTTTGAAGGGTGGGGCAGCCGTTGTAACTATACTGAGACCTTAGAATTTATATCTCAAGGTGGGTGGCGCATTTACATCGTAGATGTCTATGTGCTCCAGTAACCACTTAACATCAGGTGGGCTGTGAGCTCGTTCAT